GAATCGGCTTACGTTTGGTAAAGTTATGGACTCTCTAAGTCCAATTTTGAGTCAATCTGTTACAAGTCCTCGGAAAACTAGAAATAACTGACATGAAAATGGGTCAAAAATTTGATCAACGTTAAATTGAAAAATTTGAATGCAGATTTTTAGAGAATCGAATCAGAAGTCTTTAGAGGTATGCCACTTTGCAATCGGCTTAAGTTTGGTTAAGTTATGGACTCTCTAAGTCCTATTTTGGGACAACGTTAAACAAGTCAAATTAGAAATAACTGACATGAAAATGGGTCAAAAATTTGATCAACGTTAAATTGAAAAATTTGAATGCAGATTTTTAGAGAATCGAATCAGAAGTCTTTAGAGGTATGCGGCTTTGGAATCGGCTTAAGTTTGGTAAAGTTATGGACTCTCGAAGTTTAATTTTGGGTCAAAGTTAAACAAGTCAAATTAGAAATAACTGACATAAAAATGGGTGAAAAATTTGATCAAAGTTAAATTGAAAAATTTGAATCCAGATTTTTAGAGAATCGAATCAGAAGTCTTTAGAGGTATGCCACTTTGTAATCGGCTTGAGTTTGGTTAAGTTATGGAACTCTAAGTCCAATTTTGAGTCGCTCTTTTACAAGTCATCGGAAAATTAGAAATAACTCACATGAAAATGGGTCAAAAAATTAATCGACGTTAAATTGAAAAATTTGAATGCAGATTTTTAGAGAATCGACTCAGAAGTCTTTAGAGGTATGCCACTTTGGAATCGGCTTAAGTTTGATTAAGTTATGGACTCTCGAAGTTCAATTTTGGGTCAAAGTTAAACAAGTCATATTAGAAATAACTGACATGAAAATGGGTCAAAAATTTGATCAACGTTAAATTGAAAAATTTGCATGCAGATTTTTAGAGAATCGAATCAGAAGTCTTTAGAGGTATGCCACTTTGGAATCGGCTTAAGTTTGATTAAGTTATGGACTCTCGAAGTTCAATTTTGGGTCAAAGTTAAACAAGTCAAATTAGAAATAACTGACATGAAAATGGGTGAAAAATTTGATCAAAGTTAAATTGAAAAATTTGAATGCAGATTTTTAGAGAATCGAATCAGAAGTCTTTAGAGGTATGCCACTTTGGAATCGGCTTAAGTTTGGTAAAGTTATGGACTCTCGAAGTTCAATTTTGGGTCAAAGTTAAATAAGTCAAATTAGAAATAACTGACATGAAAATGGGTGAAAAATTTGATCAAAGTTAAATTGAAAAATTTGAATGCAGATTTTTAGAGAATCGAATCAGAAGTCTTTAGAGGTATGCCACTTTGGAATCGGCTTAAGTTTGATTAAGTTATGGACTCTCGAAGTTCAATTTTGGGTCAAAGTTAAACAAGTCAAATTAGAAATAACTTCTTTTTTTTTTTTTAATATAACATATATTTTATTTATACGTTAATCACCCAATTAAATGGCTATAAAACGTAGGGACTAGAAAGACTAACAAACATAACATGGAAAAACATAACGGCAGCGATAAATATCAATATGTTTTTGACTTTAAAAATAATTGGAGATTTTGGTGACGATCACGATAATATTTTATTTATTGGGGAAGGACTCTCGTTCTATGCCGCCCTCCTATCCATAGGTCTGCTTGATGCCTTCTCTTTAGCCTTCTTCTAATCATAGGGGTTGCCAATGCTGCAGCTAGGTGGTTCGAGTGGGCTCGAATCCGTGCATTGTAGCGACTTGAGTGACGATTGATTTGTTCCCGCACGGTGGGGATGTGAAGGTCTTTTGTTATGTCTTCATTTCTCACATACCACGGCGCATTTACAATGGTTCGCAGTGCTCGGTTTTGCAGCCGTTGTACTCGCATGATGTTTGAGTCGGATGCCGTACCCCAAATTTGCATGCAATACGTCATGGAAGGGACTACTATTGCCTTGTAGATCAGAATTTTATTTCTGAGGCTCAGATAACTCGCTGCTCTAAGCATCCAATTAAGCTTCCTAAGCTTACTACGGCATGTTGCTGCTATTTTGACGGTGTGTTGCCTCCATGTGAGCCGCTTGTCGAGGATCAATCCAAGATATTGCGCCTGAGGGGATTGTGGGATGAGCGTGTCTTGGAATTTAACCCTAGGGAGGGTTTGATGCCTTAAGGAGAAGTTGCAATGTTGCGACTTATTTCCGTTTATACTTATATTCCACCTGCTCGTCCACTCGCTGTACAGGTCCAAGAAGCTCTGGATAATTCTGGACGCCTCGATTCGACACGGAGAGTTTGCGATGAAGGCTGTGTCGTCAGCATACGTTGCCAAGAGGGTACCCGGGTCTCTAGGATTTGGCAAGTCAGAGGTGTAAAGGGTGTACAGCACAGGACCCAAAACACTACCTTGTGGTACGCCAGCTCGTATGCATCGGATAAATGATCTTTCGCCTCTCACTTCAACCATAAAGCTTCTATCCAGCAGATATGTTTTAAGAAGGACACACACTCTATCGAAAGCTTCTTTTACGTCCAAGAATATAGCAGAGCTGTACTGTCTATTCTCGAAGGCATCCGGGGTTCCATGGTGATTCCTGAAGCCGAACTGGTGGTCTGGAATTGCATCCTGAACTCTTCTTACTGCCATCATTCTGCTAAGAATTATTCTCTCGAATATTTTAGAGAATGTGGGCAGCAAGCTTCTTGGTCGGTACGACGCAACAAGGTTCTCCGGCTTACCTGGCTTCGGTATCATCGATATCACAGCGCACTTCCATTGTGGAGGGGAAGTGGTGGATACGTATCATGGAGTTGAACAGGATGACTAAAAACAGAATGCCCTTTTTCGGAAGTGCCTTGGCAACCCTGGTGTCAATACCGTCAAATCCTGGAGCTTTGCTGAGGTGCAGCTTTTTTATTTGGTGACAAACTTCTTCCGGACTTATATGACGAATAGGCTCTGCTTCTGGGCAGGGAGCATTAAGAAATTGCAGTGTGTTTTCAACGTCATCACGCTTCGCAAAGTTAAATGGCTGAAAGCGATTCTCCAGTTCGTCAGCAAAAGCCAGAGAAATTTCGGAATCCGATCTGCACCAAGTGTTGTCAGTTCGCTTAATAGGTATTCTGCGAGGGGGCTGCCTTTTTATAACTCTTGCTGCTTTCCAGATGCTAAATCCATATGGTTTTGTAGGATTAGCATTACGTAGCAGATCAGCGAAGTAGTCATTTTTAGTTTTGTGCAACAACTTTTTGAGATCGTCCTCAGCGCGACGATATGCCCTTTTGTCGGCTGGATCCCTCGACCGCATGAATCTGCGACGCAAGGCTCTTTTCAACCTCACCAGATCCAGAACCTCAGGTTTTAAAAGGGCATGAGTTGGATTCGATGGGTTTATTGAACCTTGCCTACAGGTTGAGGAGTCAGCAGCGATGTGGATGTTTTGGACAAAATGCTCAGTCGCGTCGTCAATATCTTCAGGGGTGTTTAGGACCATGTTGAGGTTAACAAGCTGATTAACAGCTGCCTGGAACCGCGGAACGCTTGCGTTTTGAGGAAGGATGTGCATTTTCCGGGAAAGCTTGTGAGCAGCTGTTCTTAGTTCAATCACCAAGGGGATGTGGTCAGAACTTAGTTCCAAGCTTTCTGATATGGTGACAAGCTCAGAGCGAATACCTCCATATATGGCAAAGTCGATTGCTGATGGTGTACGTTGACTGTACGGGTAATGCGTGGGCCCTCCGGTTGCAAGGACTTGGATATTAGCACTATAAATACAGTCAGCCAATGCTCTTCCGCTGGCTGTGCAGTTTCGTGAGCCCCAAAGTCGATGGTGTGCATTCCAGTCTCCAGCAATAAGGAAATTGGGTCCTAGTTCCTCAAATAGTACTCTGAAGTCAACGGCGGTACGCAGAAAGTTAGGTGGGCAATAAATAGACGCAATGACAATTTCACCGTGGTCCGTTTTGACTTTAACTGCGACCCATTGAGCACTTTGATGTTCCATTGTTGCGAACTGGTGGTATTGGAGACAGGACTTTATAATAATAGCAGAGCCTCCACGATGGCGATCTGCCGGATGATTAGATTGGTGAATGTCATACCCCTGTAGCTTGTAATATGACCGAGAGGAGAAATGTGTTTCGCTGACCAACATGATGTCAATGTGATGCTTCCGCACGAAGAGCTCTAGCTCCAGCGCCTTGTTGGCCAGCCCGTCGGCGTTCCATACACCGATTTTGAGCCCAATTTGACTCATGGCTGTGTTGAATGAGCTGGGAGAAGGCCAGAGATTGCTTGGGCAGTTCCTGGCGCCATTTGTGATATAAGGCCTGTAATGAGAGTCATCATTGACATCATCATCTGGAACATCTTGTCGAGTTGAGCTACGAGGACTGACATCTTTTCATCGGATCGCATAAACATTTGCCTTGTCGCTGCCATTGACGATCATTTTGGACATTTCGGTGCTGTTGCGATGACTGTTGTTGTTGGTCCTGCTGTTGTTTGGGAGCTGGTTTTTGAGGTCGTTGGATGCTGCTGATGTTGATTGAGTCCGTTACTTTGCTTTGTCCACTGCTGTCGGCTAGCCTGTTGCGTTTGTTGTTGTACAGATCCCCTAGCGGCATTCGCGTATGAAATCGATGCCACAGCACCTCTTCCCTCAGTTGGTCGTACATTGGCTGGTTGTTGTGGGAGGCTACGATGGGTTGTAGCACCTCTACGACGACTTACTGTTTGCTGGTAAACAATACAGCCCTTGTAACTAGCTGTGTGACTACCTCCACAGTTTACGCATTTAACGGGGTGAATTTCTCGTTCGCATTCGTCAATCGCATGTTGTTGACCACATCGGACACAATTAAATTCCTTATGGCAATTGTTTTTTGTGTGATTAAAAGATGCAACGAAAACACTGTACGATATCGTCCTTTTTGTGAGGAAGTTCAACTTGAACTCGTTGACGACAGAGCATCTTAAGCTCATGAACTTCTTTGTTGTTCGCGGCTGGTTCTAACTCGACAAAAACAAGGTTAATAAAAGCGCACATTGTGTCCAAGCGAAGTCAGACTTTCCTTAATGTCCTCATCCGGGATGGTGTAATGTACACCTCGGATGACTATGCGGAAGGATCTTTCCTCTTTAAGCTGCCAGGTATGGCACCTTTTTATGGTGAGCGATTTAGTAATGGCTCTGTACGCATCGGAGTCTGCAGCGAGGATCGAAACTGAATTATCTGGGTGGCATTTGATGGAGTATTTTGTTGGGTGGACGATCTTATCAGTGGATCTGATAAGTCCGTTTAGGCTTTCGAAAATTTTGATTACAATTGGGGGTGGTTTTTGATTCCGTGAGGTTTCCTTGTTACCTGTGAGCTGGTCCGGATTACGATTGCCGCTGTTACTAGTGCTGGTGGTGTTGTTGTTGCCATTGTTGCTGCTACTGATGTTGTTGCTTATGATGTTGCTGTTTTCAATGATGTTGGTACTGTTCTCGTGGTTGTCATTGATGTTACTTGTGTTGGTAATATTGGCTCCATCGGAGCTGTTGTGGCTGACAACAAGAGAAGCGAGGGGGAGGTCATCTTCAGCGTCCATGTCTGACAGTTCCGAGAACCGATTAACAGATTCAGTTGGTTTTGGGCTTTTAGAACTCCTTTGAACTTTTCTGTTACCATCGGGAGACTTGGAGTCTAACCGGCGTTTGTTAGAGCTGGGACGTGGGGTCCACCAGTCCTCGTCGTCTGCTACAGTTTCATCGGATGAAAGGTCTTGAGGTTGTCGAGCGTTGGAAGAGGTGGAAGCATAGACAGAGCTAAAACGTTTTAATGAGGCGTTTAATGCGTTACTCATTTTCCTTTGGGCCTCAGCCACTGTTCCTGAGATGTTGAAGTCTGGTTCAGACATTATGGTAGTTAGTGACTGCTTGACACTGCTTTACCGACTTCCAGAACACTAAGCCCTTTTGTGTAGGTTCCAAAGAGGCGGTTGTGGTCCAGTGAGGAAGGCGCTCGCCCCACCGCCAGGTGAAACCCGGTTCGAGCCCCAGTCGAGGAAATATTTGAATTTGTTTTTTATTTTTTTAATAAAAATATAATTGATCTGTTGATCTCAGAGGGGTGATTTGCAACTACAACAAGCTGCAAATGTCTTTCTACCAGTTCCTACTTCACTTGTTTTCGCGAAAAGGCACAACCAACGGGACGTAAGATCACTGACACCGCGACTCCAGCCACTGAGCTCACAAAAACAGTAAGTTTTGCCACGAAAGTGGACTTGTCCATAGGCTCTGCACAAAGAATTTCGTAATAATGCAAAAACACGTCTGCACTCCACGAAAGCATGATCGAGACTTAGAAATAACTGACATGAAAATGGGTGAAAAATTTGATCAAAGTTAAATTAAAAAATTTTAATGCAGATTTTTAGAGAATCGAATCAGAAGTCTTTAGAGGTATGCCACTTAGGAATCGGCTTAAGTTTGGTAATGTTATGGACTCTCTAAGTCCAATTTTAAGTCCTCGGAAATCTAGAAATAACTGACATGAAAATGGGTCAAAAAATTAATCGACGTTAAATTGAAAAATTTGAATGCAGATTTTTAGAGAATCGAATCAGAAGTCTTTAGAGGTATGCCACTTTGCAATCGGCTTAAGTTTGGTTAAGTTATGGACTCTCTAAGTCTTATTTTGGGACAACGTTAAACAAGTCAAATTAGAAATAACTGACATGAAAATGGGTGAAAAATTTGATCAAAGTTAAATTGAACAAGAAAGGAAAGCTAACTTCGGGCGGAGCCGAAGTTGATATACCCTTGCAGAATACTCTGTAAATTATATTCTCCAAAATTATTCATATGATGCATTCTTAATACTCATAAAAAATCCGAACTTCCTAACTTTAACAACAACAAAGTTATGGCATTTCCATTCGTTCAGTTATATGGCAGCTATAGGATATAGTCGGCCGATCCTTATGAAATTTGATAGGTCGGATTGATTGGCCAAAAATAAAATCCATAGAAAATCCCAATTTCCTAACTTTACAAACACCAAAGTTATGGCATTTCCGATCAATCAGTTATATGGCAGCTATAGGATATAGTCGGCCGATCCTTATGAAATTTGGTAGGTCGGATTGATTGGCCAAAAATAAAATCCATAGAAAATCCCAACTTCCTAACTTAACAAACACCAAAGTTATGGCATTTCCGATCAATCAGTTATATGGCAGCTATAGGATATAGTCGGCCGATCCTTATGAAATTTGGTAGGTCGGATTGATTGGCCAAATATAAAACCCATAGAAAATCCCAACTTTCTAACTTTACAAACACCAAAGTTATGGCATTTCCGATCAATCAGTTATATGGCAGCTATAGGATATAGTCGGCCGATCCTTATGAAATTTGGTAGGTCGGATTGATTGGCCAAATATAAAACCCATAGAAAATCCCAACTTCCTAACTTTACAAACACGAAAGTTATGGCATTTCCGATCAATCAGTTATATGGCAGCTATAGGATATAGTCGGCCGATCCCGGCCGTTCCGACTTATATACTGCGTGCAAAGGAAAGAAGGGTGTGTGCAAAGTTTCAATCCGATAGCTTTAAAACTGAGAGACTAGTTTGCGTAGAAACAGACAGACGGACAGACGGACAGACCGACATGGCTATATCAACTCAGGAGGTGATCCTGATCAAGAATATATATACTTTATAGGGTCGGGGATGTCTCCTTCACTGCGTTGCACACTTTTGACCAAAATTATAATACCCTCTGCAAGGGTATAAAAATTTGGATGCAGATTTTTATAGAATTGAATCAGAAGTCTTTAGAGGTATGCCACTTTGGAATCGGCTTAAGTTTGGTAAAGTTATGCACTCTCTAAGTCCAATTTTGAGTCACTCTGTTACAAGTCCTCGGAAAATTAGAAATAACTGACATGAAAATGGGTCAAAAATTTGATCAAAGTTAAATTGAAAAATTTGAATGCAGATTTTTAGAGAATCGAATCAGAAGTCTTTAGAGGTATGCCACTTTGGAATCGGCTTAAGTTTGGTAAAGTTATGGACTCTCTAAGTCCAATTTTAAGTCACTCTGTTACAAGTCCTCGGAAATCTAGAAATAACTGACATGAAAATGGGTCAAAAAATTAATCGACGTTAAATTGAAAAATTTTAATGCAGATTTTTAGAGAATCGAATCAGAAGTCTTTAGAGGTATGCCACTTTGCAATCGGCTTAAGTTTGGTTAAGTTATGGACTCTCTAAGTCCTATTTTGGGACAACGTTAAACAAGTCAAATTAGAAATAACTCACATGAAAATGGGTCAAAAAATTAATCGACGTTAAATTGAAAAATTTGAATGCAGATTTTTAGAGAATCGAATCAGAAGTCTTTAGAGGTATGCCACTTTGCAATCGGCTTAAGCTTGGTAAAGTTATGGACTCTCGAAGTTCAATTTTGTGTCAAAGTTAAACAAGTCAAATTAGAAATAACTGACATGAAAATGGGTCAAAAATTTGATCAACGTTAAATTGAAAAATTTGAATGCAGATTTTTAGAGAATCGAATCAGAAGTCTTTAGAGGTATGCCACTTTGGAATGGGCTTAAGTTTGATTAAGTTATGGACTCTCGAAGTTCAATTTTGGGTCAAAGTTAAACAAGTCAAATTAGAAATAACTGACATGAAAATGGGTGAAAAATTTAATCAAAGTTAAATTGAAAAATTTGAATGCAGATTTTTAGAGAATCGAATCAGAAGTCTTTAGAGGTATGCCACTTTGGAATCGGCTTAAGTTTGGTAAAGTTATGGACTCTCTAAGTCCAATTTTAAGTCACTCTGTTACAAGTCCTCGGAAATCTAGAAATAACTGACATGAAAATGGGTCAAAAAATTAATCGACGTTAAATTGAAAAATTTGAATGCAGATTTTTCGAGAATCGAATCAGAAGTCTTTAGAGGTATGACACTTTGCAATCGGCTTAAGTTTGGTTAAGTTATGGACTCTCTAAGTCCAATTTTAAGTCACTCTGTTACAAGTCCTCGGATATCTAGAAATAACTGACATGAAAATGGGTCAAAAAATTAATCGACGTTAAATTGAAAAATTTGAATGCAGATTTTTAGAGAATCGAATCAGAAGTCTTTAGAGGTATGCCACTTTGCAATCGGCTTAAGTTTGGTTAAGTTATGCACTCTTTAATCCTATTTTGGGACAACGTTAAACAAGTCAAATTAGAAATAACTCACATGAAAATGGGTCAAAAAATTAATCGACGTTAAATTGAAAAATTTTAATGCAGATTTTTAGAGAATCGAATCAGAAGTCTTTAGAGGTATGCCACTTTGCAATCGGCTTAAGTTTGGTAAAGTTATGGACTCTCTAAGTCCTATTTTGGGACAACGTAAACAAGTCAAATTAGAAATAACTGACATGAAAATGGGTGAAAAATTTGATCAAAGTTAAATTGAACAAGAAAGGAAAGCTAACTTCGGGCGGAGCCGAAGTTGATATACCCTTGCAGAATACTCTGTAAATTATATTCTCCAAAATTATTCATATGATGCATTCTTAATACTCATAAAAAATCCGAACTTCCTAACTTTACAAACACCAAAGTTATGGCATTTCCGATCAATCAGTTATATGGCAGCTATAGGATATAGTCGGCCGATCCTTATGAAATTTGGTAGGTCGGATTGATTGGCCAAATATAAAACCCATAGAAAATCCCAACTTCCTAACTTTACAAACACGAAAGTTATGGCATTTCCGATCAATCAGTTATATGGCAGCTATAGGATATAGTCGGCCGATCCCGGCCGTTCCGACTTATATACTGCGTGCAAAGGAAAGAAGGGTGTGTGCAAAGTTTTAATCCGATAGCTTTAAAACTGAGAGACTAGTTTGCGTAGAAACAGACAGACGGACAGACGGACATGGCTATATCAACTCAGGAGGTGATCCTGATCAAGAATATATATACTTTATAGGGTCGGAGATGTCTCCTTCACTGCGTTGCACACTTTTGACCAAAATTATAATACCCTCTGCAAGGGTATAAAAATTTGAATGCAGATTTTTAGAGAATTGAATCAGAAGTCTTTAGAGGTATGCCACTTTGGAATCGGCTTAAGTTTGGTAAAGTTATGCACTCTCTAAGTCCAATTTTGAGTCACTCTGTTACAAGTCCTCGGAAAATTAGAAATAACTGACATGAAAATGGGTCAAAAATTTGATCAAAGTTAAATTGAAAAATTTGAATGCAGATTTTTAGAGAATCGAATCAGAAGTCTTTAGAGGTATGCCACTTTGGAATCGGCTTAAGTTTGGTAAAGTTATGGACTCTCTAAGTCCAATTTTAAGTCACTCTGTTACAAGTCCTCGGAAATCTAGAAATAACTGACATGAAAATGGGTCAAAAAATTAATCGACGTTAAATTGAAAAATTTGAATGCAGATTTTTAGAGAATCGAATCAGAAGTCTTTAGAGGTATGCCACTTTGCAATCGGCTTAAGTTTGGTTAAGTTATGGACTCTCTAAGTCCTATTTTGGGACAACGTTAAACAAGTCAAATTAGAAATAACTCACATGAAAATGGGTCAAAAAATTAATCGACGTTAAATTGAAAAATTTGAATGCAGATTTTTAGAGAATCGAATCAGAAGTTTTTAGAGGTATGCCACTTTGCAATCGGCTTAAGCTTGGTAAAGTTATGGACTCTCGAAGTTCAATTTTGTGTCAAAGTTAAACAAGTCAAATTAGAAATAACTGACATGAAAATGGGTCAAAAATTTGATCAACGTTAAATTGAAAAATTTGAATGCAGATTTTTAGAGAATCGAATCAGAAGTCTTTAGAGGTATGCCACTTTGGAATCGGCTTAAGTTTGATTAA